AAAAAAAAAAAAAAAAAAAGGAAAGATTACGTACCTGGAATCCACAGTGAATTAAGATTGAAGCTGGAGCGAGAGACGTGGCGAATGCACGGGTTAACGATATTGCCTGTTAAATCGTATAGTTCTTCGTATAAAATGGAGCTCGAGTTTATATGTTGAAGAGAGAAAAGAATTAGAAGCAATGCGTCTCTTCGTTAGGATATTACCCAAGGTAACGGCGCCAGGACTTAATCTGAATAACGTTATAGCCAGAGGGTTTTAGCGCAGGCTGTATACTGCCGGTATATACAAGCATAAAATACCCGAGTACATAGTCTGGTATATGCATATACATACGTACAAAGTGCATTGTACTGCGCACACAGAATGCATAAGTGCATACACGGTATATCCTTAAGGCGACGTAGACGAAACTGCAGAGTACCCGACGGCGGCCATTTCTGACGTTCAGGAGACATTAAACGGTATTACCAACGTGACGGAGGTCGGATGACTATGATCCCCGGTAGCCTAAAGTGATTAGTATCGCGTTCGTGACTTTCCTTGTTATTCCGAAACTCCATTAAAACCAGGCAGTCTCGTGCCAACTGTCTGCAAGTTCCGCAGTCGTCCGCCAGAGGCGCTGGCATCGCGTACCTATAATACATACCGAACTAGGCCGCCAGACCTTTCGAAGGATTAAGACCCTCGATGCATCGGGGTAAGACACAGCTGTGTAAACAAAGTCCAGAGTAACGCCCACCCAGACAATTCGCATCTTTGTCTTATCGACATCGTAAGACTAGGTTAGACAAAGAACAAAGTCGCTTAGAGACACGGACATTCCAAACGTACCTCAGGTATAAAAGGCAAAACGTGGAACACGTGCGAAATAGAAAAAGTTTGACTTTTGAAAAGAAAAAAAGAAGTTATATAACCAGCGAACTCAGAAGGAATCTCAATGTTTAAACTTTATTAAATATTATTTATTTGTTAACATTGTTACGTAACGTCACTCTTTGATTCTTAATCTGCTATTTTTTTTCCAACTGTCAGAAATAGTTAATTCTTTTTTTCCGTGCTCTCCATCCTTTTCCGACACCCCGGTAAAGGACCTGTGAAAGTTTGTCGTGCCTCGGCTCGCGTTTCCTTATCGAAACGAAGGGTCTGATAGGAATAACGAAGAGGCTGGCTGCCTTCGCTTCAATCAATATCACTTGTTGACTGAAAACAGACACGAGCCCGAACTGGCATTACGAAGCACGTTGTAGAACGGATACGATTTATTGTTCCCTACTGGCGAAGACTGAATAGAGTCGTTCGATGAATAAAAGAATTGGCACGGCCGATGCTTATACAGAGTCGTATATAGATATATACGGCAGTATATACAATATATCCTATATATAGATATATATATACACAGTCCCAAAGACCTTACCTGTCTACATAGAATACCTACCCTATCTAACCTATAGCCAACGGTCCGATCGATCTTATGAATTATTAATCCACGGAGACTGGGGGACCCAATTTACAAAAGGTGTCCCCTTAGAAATCGATAGAGCGACATTGTCGTTCGATCATTGATTTTTCGCGACGCGTGACAAGCAGAGAGTTTCGTGCGACAGAGACATAACCTGTCATGCGTTTTATAACTATGGGTATACCTGTATCTGCACTTGTACATCATTGCAGTCCCACGTGCAACATGAGAATATGACATTTGAATAAATTTCATCAATATTTACCAAGGATTTAAGAGCTGCTGATTTTTCGACACACGTGACACGTCTAAACATATTTTTTTTTTTCAAAATTAACAAGCTCACCCGTTATCGCGGGTTTGGTGGGACCGCGCAAAGCAGAGTAAGACAAGACGATAGTTGGAAGACGCAAAGCAAATTGAAGCAGGATGGAGGGACAGAAAATGGTTGCCGAGTATTGATCTACATTCTCGAGGCTTTTGTCTTTCCAGAAATTTCAAGAAGGTGAAGAGGGAGGAGGGGCGGGATGGAGAAGAGGAAAACCCAACCCCTCAAACGTCCCATGTAAATTCCCCGAGCTTTTTGACTCCCGCGTTACCTAGCGGAAAAGAATAGTAAGAATGTTTGTTGCCCGTGCACTGCGACACCATGTAATTTCTCGTGGGGACTAATGGTCGGGTTACGTAAGCGCGCGACGGTTAGTAAAGCGGGAAAATTCAAAAGGTGGTAAAAATTAAAATATTACCCGAGCTGGACTGGCTCGTTCAAAAGTACATAAGAATACGTACCGACGTGGCTCCACGTCCGTTCGAGCGAATATTTATGAGCTTTCACGAAAACGCTCTTAAGCGCTTAACGACACGTTTATCGTCGTCCTACAACCTACCTGGATATAGGTGGACATTAAGGCTAGCGCATAAATCATACGGTGTAGCGTCTACTGGTTTCATGGAGGGGTCCAGCCGTTTTGTAATACCAGTTTCTATTATTAAATTATACCTATTAACTAAAGACGAGAATAAGATGGATATTTTAATGCTTTATATACAATATATGCTCTATACATAGTTATAAAAAACGATCGTTCACGGCCATGGCCATATTGTCTCAAATAACCAGAGAAACTCTTGAATTCGTAGTCTACGAAGTTTTAGGTGTTGTAACGGGATGGTATGATTCATCTATTACAGCAAGGGTAAAAAGGGACTCGAGGTGTCTAGATAGGATTTAAAAATGTAAATCCTTCCTTCCTGGGTCACTACAGCCCCAACAAGGGCATAGAGGGGGGGGGG